TTTCTTCAATTCGGTCCGATTCGATCAATTTTTGTCAATTCGTGTAGATAAATGTATATTTACACTGAACTTTTGAATTATGCTTCAATGAAATTGTTCTGGAAGTGGGTTTTGGTGGATCTCAAGGATTGTTCAGAACTGCTCCCGGTTCTGGAAGTGGATCTTCAGGATGGGCCAGGGCAATGTCAAACCGGTTCTGGTCCATCCTGAGGATCCACCAAAACCCACTTCCAGAATCGGGAGCAGTTCTGAACAATCCTGAGGATCCTCCAAAACCCACTTTCAGAACACTTTTATTCAAGCAAAATCGTCATTTCAGTACATTTTCATACAACTTCAATAAAAAAGAAGAAATAATAGAAATTTTTGCACATTTGCTCAAACTTTTTGTGTGAGAAATCCCCCTAGGGAGAACACACACACACACACGCAACAATGAAGAGAGAGAAAAACAAGACCGCAGAGCTTCGCTTCACTCCGCTCTGCATTCTTGAGTTTTTATTTGCTTAATCTATTTTGTTGTTTCACAACAAACTATTTTTTGGCGCACTACATGAAATGTATTTCATCAAAGTAACTTTGAAGTAATATATTTATTTGCAAAAAGAATTACAAGATCTTGGTTTTATTCCTGTTTTGAAATATACTGCCTTTGGTTTAAATTAAATAAATAATATGAGCATAGAATCTAAAATCACTTAAATTCTGTTCAAGACTCAGAAAATTTTTCTGAGAAAATATTATACGAAAAATTAATGTAATTTTTAAACAACATTTGATAATAAATATTTGATTGGCGCTTTGAGATATTGTTTACTTATTTATCGTTAGTGCACCTGTTTAAAATTAAATAAAAAATATGAGCATAAAATTCAAATGCACCATAATTTGTTTCATGACTCAAAAAGTATTAAGAAAGAAAAAAAAAAGCAGATTAGTAGCCCTACATTTCATGTAGTGCTAAAAAACACATGACAATGGCAACAGTAGCCATACAACTAGCATGCATTTCGTCATGCCACATTCGCATGTAATGGAAAATTAACATGGACGGATCGAAAGTGGCCGGTATGTATTATTTCTGAATTGTAAATTCTTAGTGTTAGACAATTTTATTTTTAGGTGAAATAAATGCTGCATTTTGAAAAATGGTCTGATTAATTTGCGTCAGACACAAACGGAATACGACATCGAACAGGATACAGTCATATTTACACTAAATAAATGACGAAGACGACGATAATGTTGATGTTGATATGCAATGAAACAGGCATACTTTCAAGAGTGGATTGCATTTTCACATCACTCCTCTTCCAATTAAATTGACTTATTTAATAATTTACATACAACAACAGTAGCATCAGATAAACACAAAAATAATTTTGAAACATCGAATAATGTACGAGTGTGTGTGTGTGTGTTACTGATTGTTACTATGTAGTTTTATAAGTTTAGGAAACGCGAAATTTTTCCCTTCATGCACACGTCATATTTAATGAAGCACATTTATGAAATACTGTAATTTTTCCACATCGCCAACCTTCACATAAAGATACAATCAGGGGTTTTTTCTTTATTCAAATTTATCTTCCTCTGTCTGTTTCTATTTTCCTCTCGTGTTCTCTCTCTCTCTCTTTCTCTCCTACTCTCAAGAAAAGTGGAGAATCGAGTTTGAAATATTCACCATAGCAACACTCTGTGTCGTACGGGCATTGTAGATGTGTCTATAGAATTTATATCGAATACCAACAAGCGCTATGATACGGTAGGTGCAGCAATTGTATTCTTCTCGAAATCTTTCTTCAATAAATAAATTGATCTATGATCTCAAATTCTTCTAAAACGAAATAATCAGTCAACAGTTTGTGAAAATGAATATGAAAAAAAAAACGTGGCAATCGAAAGCATTCACACATTTTTATGCACTAATAATATGCAATTTGATTGAAAAAAAAAACGTAATAGAAGAATCAGAAGAAGAAGAGGATGAAAATGGATGGAAGAACAGTACAACGATTGAAGGAAACTGTACTGCAGAATGATTCTGTTTGTTCACTTGCATAGTCAAACAAGGTTAAATATGTGTTTACTTACCACTCACAGCTAAATGGATTCTCAATTGCAATTTTGTGAATCTACATTCATTGGATTACACCCGAAAAATTTGTTAAGCGAACGTTTTTCGGATACCTTACTAATTTCATCAAACTTCTCTATGCTCCTCTTCATCGCTTATAACACGCGATTCTACATCTACGCTGTTATATGAAATGCACTTCAATTTAATTTGATCTCTTGTTAATTTATAATGGCATTTTTCAATCGGCATACGAATTATGGCGTATTATTTATAAAAAGCACGAAAACTAAATAAAGCAACTAATAAAAAAAAAGATTAAAAACCAGAATAATTAATAAGACACCGAGTGAGATGGCGAGAGAAACAAATAAATAAATAGTGTTGAAAATCAACTTGGATGACATGTAAATTTCACAATGGATTCCACGCAACATTTCACCTCATTAGCAATAATATATTTGCTGCCATTTACATTTACTCGGAAAGAAATGCATGCACCTGGCTGTGGTGGATAGTCGAGCCAACATTTTTGACCACTTTTTCATATCTCAATTTATCGTACATTTGAGAAACAGAAAGGTAGAGAGAGAGAGAGAGAGAGAGAGAGAGAGAGAGAGAAAATAGAGAAAAATACACCGACAAATTGCAAATTCAATTTAATCCAGCTATCAAGAGTGATTGTCTGTATAGGGCTCGGCTAATTTGAATGGAATGCTCAAATGAATCATGGTCATGTTTAAATGAGCACGAAATCTGCAAAGTCCATTTTTTTTCTGTGTTGTTGTTGGTTGCTCGATTGTTCATTTGAATATTGAGCGCATGCCATTTTGATGGAGGGTGAGCGAACCAGGAGAAAAAAAAACGTTATTTCCACTGCTCATTTTGACTACATTCCTTTTTCGTGGAATTTTACCATCTGTAGAAGTTAGTGTATATTTTGTTTTGTGATTATCCCTATCGTTTATGTGTGTAATCAATATTGGACACAAAATATACTACTCGATGTATATAATCCCAGTGAATCAGGTGCAATGATACGAAAATTTCCTGAGGCATGATAAATTTCAATTATAACTGGGATTTTCACAAAATACTTTCTGACTTGATTATGTGGTGTTATTATCCATGTTTAAACCGTACAACGTGTAAATGCGATGAAAATTCCGCCAAACATATAAACGCACGTATGCAACCGCATCAACAAGAACGTGTGCTCAACACGCATACACACTCAGTCAGGCAACAAGAGTTGACGACAACAGCAGACCACCAACATCAGTAGTAGCAGCAGCAGCAGCAGCAGCAGCAGCAGCAGCAGCAGCAGCAGCAG